GTTGGCTGGTTTCTTTGTAGAATAAGTTGGCTTGCTGCAGAGCCAACATCTGTGACCTTTAATGTCCTTGTCCAGCAGAGATGGCTGGTGCACATTTCCAAAGGAATAAAACTTAAAAAATGTCACTTCTGTAGCCAGTATGAGTCAAGACTGTTCCCAAAAGGTGGGATAATAACTTTTCCATAGGTTCTTACCTACTAGCATCAATTAGGAGTTAGGTTTTTGTTTTTCTTCTTACTTTGAGGAACCATATGCATGGTCAGCATATGTCCACATACTTCTGTAAAACAATGTGAATAAGTGTTTTCAGCTGTCTGCTTCATACTGTGGTGGGCTTCATGCTAGCTCCTTTGTGCCAGCTACTGCCAGAGTGTCCAGACGGAATAAGGTTGCTCGAAACCAGGTTGACATAGCCTGCTTACTTTTGACCAAATACCAGGCCAGATGACTGTTCCTTCTATGTTGGATTTTTTAGGCCTTGTAACAGCTGTTGTTTAATATAGGGTGGAAGAATAGATTGTGTCAGCCTTCAATCCAATGGCGTATTTTGCACTTAAGAATGAATGGAAAGAGGGGAAAAAAAGCTTCCCAGAATGTATGTTTGGGAATTCATGTTACTAGGTTTGTCTTCCAGGGATTATCAGGCATTGAGGGGCTAGAAGAACAGGAAGACGATTTGTTGTAGTTGAGAATAGCTGGACACTTAGGTACACAGGAAGAAAGGAGAACATAGATTGCTAACTAAAATTATATGCATTTTCAGCTGCGACAGGTAGCTCAACTTGATGAATTAGTGTTTTAAAGATAAGCTTCAAATTCCAAACTATGTTAGAAACTGCTTTCCATAAGATAATTTACCGTTGATCAGTAGCATCTTGCCTCTGAAAGCCAGTGTCTTCTAGCACATGCTGAATTTTTTTTTGCATGCTTAATTTCTAATTTGGAAAAGAAGAATGCAGTCTGGCATCCACCCTTGATAAGATGGTGACTTCTAATATAGAATATTTATGGCATGTTTTGGCTGTACTGATCTTTTAACCACAACAGGTCTTAAGACAACTACTCTTCAATTCCTTTGGGGCGATCTACTGTGAGACTTTCTTAAAACTGTTATTTGGTGTTCTGAACTTAAGCTATTCCATAGTTATGAAACAATATTTCTAGATTCTGCATAAATAAGTTCCTAGAATATAGGGCTCTCCCATGCCTTCAGCTCGTATAGCTAATTGAGCGATGATGTGCGTTATATGTTGCATATAAGCATGGTTGTTCTGGAGTCTCAGTCATTCTCCAGTATTGGTATCTGACTAAAACTCACAGATGTCTGCTATGTTAAAAGGTAACGTTTTATTTTCTGTGTCATTACTCAAGTTTCCCCAGATGTATAAGTAATGAAACACAGTCCTGCTGGAGTGGTGGTTTTTTGTGTGTGTTTCTTCTATACAGTAAATGCATCTTGGGGTGTGTGTGGTATTTTGTAATAGTTCTAGCAAAACAAGAAGCTAACAGTAGCGTGTGTTGAAGGAAGTATCTGGAGCTCTTGACTAAATCACTTGGAGCAAGGCCCACCTCTTTTTTTTTTTTTTTTTTTAGTGCTCAAGATTTGATAGGAAATATTGGGAGTAAAATAAAATGGAGAAATATGTATTTTGGTGATTTGTGGTTCCTTCTAATGTTCAGCTTCAGATGCGCAGGTGTTGCTTTTGTCAGATGAAAGCTGCCTGATTTCTACTGCTATGTAATTCACTTGCATCAAGATTAAGAAACCGCTTTTTATTAAATAAGCTTGGAAACAAGATAAATGTATTTTGCTTTTGTGTAACATGTATTGGATATCTGTTTTTCTGATGAGCGTTTAAAATGTTTTCTAGTACAATTGGGAGGAATGCATTATCTCTCATATAAAAGCAGTGCAATGCTGAAATTGTCCTCCTTAATTTTGGTCAGAATGAACAAAAGTGTCTGTGTTTATTCCTGCCTAATGCATCACAAATCTGCTGACATGCTAACCTTGGAGTCTTGGCTGGCGGTAATCAGGCCTGTGCACCGGCAGGAAAGATGTACCTAATGCACTCCATCAGTGCAGTTTGCATATGGAAGTTCTCACTGGGGATCTGCCCTGTGCCAGCTGAGGGTTACCTGCCCACTGCAGTTATTGTATGTAATTATCGAACCAATCTGTTCAGCCCAGCAGGGTTGATGGTAATCATGAAGCAACACTTTGGAAAGGAAAGATGTAATGCACTTTCCCCTTCTCTCATGAGCTATGTGAGGTTGTATCCACTTTTAAAAGCTGCATCAGTAAAGCTCTAGTCTTACACAAAAATTTAAAAAGGAAAAGGTAGACTCTTCAGGTGTTCATCAAAGTTACCATCTATGTCTGATACAGATCCAGGTCAACTCTTCCTTTGAAAAAAATCAGGTGGCTTAAAAAAAAAAAAATTTCCATAACCACCTTAAGAATACTTTGCAAGAGTAAGATTAATTGTAATACACAGATAATAACAGTTCTATCCATTTAGAGTTTTTAAGGTAACGTACCTTGAATAGAGTTCAGATTGCCCAACTACCTCTCTTTGGAAAGGAACCCATAGTTGCTATTAGAAAAAAATAATAACGTACTGTCAGTGGGTGTTTGCTACTTTAAAGCTGTGCAAAGAAAGCCTTAAGAAGCAAGGATCCAGATAAACTTGAATTTAATGAGGTGTAATTGCTTTTTAAAAAGCAATTAACATCAACTTTGGGTACAATGTTTTTCTGTGTTCTCTAAGATTTTTCAGATTGCTCCTTTTGTAACAGTTATTCAGTGTAAATAAAAACCAGTTTTTGATCATAAAAACATGTGTTTTCATACATTAAAATTTCAACTCCTAATGTGATCTGCAGATACGGGAACTGAACTTTGTCTATTGAACTGAACAATTCTGTTGCCTAGTACTAGTATTCTTGCATTAATATATGAATAAATTTCCTTTACAACTGGAGATGTTTTATAATATATGAAGAAATAATGCTTAAAATTGGGGAATGCCTCGTGAGGATAGGATATTTTCTACTCTATGTGGCCTTTCCTGCTCTGAGCTCAGTTAGCCCATTTTTTTTTCCTCAGAGAAAAAGAAAGGCAGCAGCTGCAACCAATGACAGCACCGAAGCAGAAATGGAAGAAGATACAGAAAGTCCTGAAAAAGAGAAACCTGCTTCTTCTAGTAAGTCAAAAGATTGTTCTCACAGTCGTGTGTACTGGTATGGTAGGTTAACCCTGTCTAAGGGTCAGATTCCCACCCAGTCACTTGCTCCCTGCCTCGGTGGGACAGAAGGAGAAAATAGGGTAAGAAAACCCATGAGTCGATACAAGGATGGCAAGATGGCTTACCACTTTCTGCTGTGAGCAAAACAGACTCAACCTGGGGAAAATAAACTTAATTTATTGTCATTTAAAATCAGTGCATAGTGACAAAGGCAAAAATTAAACCATCTTTCCTTTCCCTTCTCCCAGGCTCAGCTTAACTTCCTCACTCTACACTCCTCTACTTCGCTCCCTGAGCAGTGCAGGGGGAATGGTGTGGAAGTATGTTACGGTCTGTACATAGCATTTTCTCTTGGCTGCTCTTTCCTCCTCACAGTTTTCCCCTGCTCCTGTGTGGGTGCTCTCTCTTGGGCTGCAGTCCTTCAGAAGAAAAAAAGTGTCCTCTGGTTCCTTCAGGAAATCTCCTTCTTGTCTAGTGTGGGCTCTCCCCTGACTTTGCAGGGGACATCTGCTCCATCCTGGGCCCTTCATGGGGTATGGGGAATATATTCTGCAGTTCTGTGCAACACCACCTCCTCCTCTGACCTGTGTGTTCCTTCTGCTGTTTTTCACTCTCCTGCCTGCATCACCACCCCCTCCCAGCCTGTCCAGTGCTTTTTGCGCTCTCAAATGTTTTCACAGAGGTGCCACCAACAAGTTGGGCTCACCGTTGACCTACGGTGGGTTTTGTTTGGAGCCCGCTGGAATGGGCTGTCGGGCACAGGACAGCACCCGGCCTCTTCCCACAGAGGCTACATCTGTAGCTGACCCCAGCTTACCAAAACTCTGCCACATGGCCACATATACCCAATGCAACTGTTTACCTTTAGCATTCAAGTGTGTTTTATCTTTTGTAATTTCTTTTTAGATTAATAAAATAGAAATATTTAACTGTCTATGTAAGTAAGGTATAGTCTCCAATTGTATGGTGCTTAAAGCTGGTACAAGTGCTAGGTGATCGAAACTGATAGTTGCACCCTGTTCTTTTGCCGTGATTCATTCTCTGCTCCATTCTAATTTTTGTCCTTCTGTGTTGCCCTGTTCACTGTCAGAGTATGCTGACTCCTCAGCACGTCTTCATCACAGTGTGTTAAAGCCAGGGGCTAGCAGCAGCACCTTCCAAAAGCGAGTGTATTTAAAGCTGAGGAAAGGATCAGCTGTAAGGAGAGAAAATGCTGAAGCTACATTTCAGATCATCTGGCATAGTTTTGGTGTTGTCTGGGAAAAGTCACGGACAGATAAAGTAGGATTATTTTAAGTGCAAGATCAGAAATCTTCAGTAGTTCTGTGTAAGGTGGATAAAGAACTGGCTGGATG